ACAGCGGACGCGAGTGGACACGGACGCTGATCCCCCCGGGCCTGCTTTATCGATGGGTGAACCGGCCGCACGGGGAGATGACGTTTCGCCTCACACAGCTCATGACGGTAATAAACGATGGCGACCCGTCACCTGAAGTATTGCTTCGCGGCATTTCCAGGTGGCGGGTGTATTGCCGGTTAAAAAAAAAAAAAAAAAAAAAAAAAAAAAAGGTTCCCGGTCGGGGCATAAGCATGCCGCCGGGCGTGTCCCCAGGTTGCGGATAGGGGAACGCCCTGCAGATATGCAGGGCAGCCGCGAAATAAGCCATACCCTTCGGGATTGGTCGAATAAGCGGTCGCGGACAAGCTCACCACCGGGGGAGCGATCGACCCCCGGTGTCTCGGAAGATCTGTAGCAAGAAAGGAAAACAGACAGACGGCACGAGGCTGTTGCCGTCAGTGGCGGCCAAGCCAACACAAACAACAATGACGATGAGTACTAACAAAAGAATAAAATGTACTGCTTCAAGGGAATCGGATGCCCTAGAGCCGGCGGTTGGGGGATCGTGCTCGCCCCAAGAGTCGTTATCGCCATCAAGCACAAAAATCTTGGAAGTGGAGAGCCAGGCTTCCGGAGCCAGCCATGGGACTGGTACCACGACTGGTGGGGTGTGTGTTGCGCAGGCTCACCCCGGCGGCAGACAGGCCGCTGACATTACTGCAAGGCCCACACCGGTACAGAAAGATGCGGTCTTACACAAAGAGCAGGATAATGGCAATATTGATCACGTTCAAAACGTGATGTCAATCGCCAACGACTTCAGAATGAAGCTCGCTAGGCAAGATAAAAATTTGAAGGATGAAGGATTTATTCCTCAAGGCTGAGTTTTTGGAGACAGCAACCCAGAAATCCCACAGCCCTATAGTTATCTCTGCCATCAAAGAAGTCCTAGCAATAATCAACGGACAGGAGGGACTGAAACATCGAAGATCGGGCGTCAATACCTCGTTCATCTCTATGTTTAACGCCGTTCAGGACCTCAACCAAAGTTCGTCGCAGATCACTACGACTAATTCCGAAACCCAAACTGAGGACGTAATCGTGGGAAAGCGCAATACTTCCGATGCAAGTACTGACTCCCCCTGTTGGTGGGATTCGGCAGGCCACCAATCAAACTGCAGGTTTACAACGGTCACAGGCCCTAAACCAGAAATCAAGAAACCAACACGGGAACCTGGTAAGTCAAAGAACCAGCCACGAACCACGGCGGGGCCGACCGGGGAGACCAGCCCGCAAATAGGTATCTCCAAGAAGGAAGAGACGGACTTCAAGCTGGTAGGGAGGAAGAGGCCAGTGAAGCCCCGTGTAGCGGAAGATCCACCTCTCGGCACTGTAACCGAGGCAAATCTCCCGTCTTACCTACCGCGAAAAGCAACAGACGACTACCTAGAACACAAGTGGTTGTTCTCAACAAACCCACAGGTAGCCGATCGTATGCAGATATGGTGAAGAAAGTGAAGGATACTGTTCGTCAAGAATCGTTGTCTTTCGAAATATCCACCAGGAGAACGAAAACCGGCAACCTGATCCTTGAAACTAAGGAGAGCAAAAACGCAGGACGCCCTTGCCAACGCGCTGAAACGCAAGTTCGGCGCAGATTCCGGCATTAGGCGACCGTCACCGAGCCCTTCTTTTTGTGGGAATCGAGGATTCAGTGGAAGAGAACGAGCTCAACAGCGCATTACTGGCTCACGATGAAGAGCTGTTAGTGTCCAATAAACTCACCATAAGGGAAGGCCACAACGGCGTGAGAACAGCCATTGCCAGGGTGCCCTTAGCCCCAGGACTCAGACTCTCGCGGCTTAAAAAACTGAAGGTTGGTTGGGCGGTGTGTCGTATCAAAGAGCTCACACCAAGGCATGGTTGCGCAAGGTGCTCCTCCACAGAGCACGAGACTGCCAAGTGTGAAGGACCTGAACTTCGAGCATGTTTCAAATGCAAGAAGGTTGGTCATTTGATAGCATCTTGCAGCTCACCATCTCCAACTGCTGGAAATCACCGCGCCGACAAACCGGCGACAGGGTCTTCCCAGACGCAATGACCAGCGTACAACGGGTGTCCTTCAGGGTCCTACAGATGAACCTGAACCACTGTTGGACGGCGCAACAACTGCTACAACAAACAATGGCAGAGCGCTCAGTGGACCTGGCTATCATCAGCGACTACCATAGGGCAGCGAGCGACGTACAACACTGGGTTTCCAGTACGGATGGTAAGTGCGCCGTTCTCCTAAATCGTAGTTCAAACGCGGCTATCTCTGCCACTGGATGTGGTTTCGGCTTTGCGTGGGTCAGAATTGGGGCTGTGGCTCTTTATAGCTGCTATTGCACACCCAACTGCTCGAACGATGAGTTCGATACCTTTCTCTGTGGCCTAGAAGCATCCATCCGTAATGCACAAGCTGCAAGCGCGGACATCGTTGTAGCCGGCGATTTCAACTCGCACTCCGCAGAATGGGGATCCGCTAGCGAAGACCTTAGAGGCGCCCTGTTATCTAACTTTGCCGCCGCGCTCGACCTGTTAGTGTGCAATGAGGGGACAACACCGACTTACCACCGGGTAAACGCCAGCTCGGTAATTGACGTCACCTTCGCTCGAACGAGCCGTAGAGAGCAACCCTTGGTTACCGACTGGACCGTATTATCCGAGATCAACTCAGCCAGCGATCACGACTACATCGAGTTTATGGTAAACGATTCTAGAGGGAGCCACCACAACCCGTTCAGGAGACCCGAAACAGCGTCTGGCTGGGCTGTCAAGAAACTCTCCACAGAAAAACTGTCGGAATATTGGAATGAGTGTGGACAGCCGTCTATACTGGACAACGCCAATGCCGACGACCACGCCGCGCAACTCCAGAAGTTTTTGTTTGATGCCTGCGAGGCAGCAATGCCATGCAGAACCGTCTTCAAAGGGAGAAGAGCGATGCATTGGTGGAGCGATGCAATCGCGGTCCTACGAGCGGAAACAATAGCCGCCCGCAGACAATACCAACGCGCCGGCCGAAGGGCAAACCAAGACGGTAGGACCGCGGCGTTTGAGGTGTACAACCAGAAAAGGAAAGACCTTAGGACGGCCATCAGGTGGGCGTAGGAGAGTAGCTGGAAAGCCCTGTGTCTCGAGGTCGATAAAGACCCCTGGGGTACACCATACAAATTGGTCATGAAGCGGTTGGGTAGGCGGTCTCCAGCATTGGAAGACCACGCGCTACTAACCATCACTCAGGGTCTTTTTCCAGCGGTGCAGCTGGTAGACTGGACGGCCTTTCCTCTCGTGGAGCGCGGCCAGACCGACCTCGAAGCGCTGGAGGGTACAAATAGCGAGCCGTTTACCACCGACGAGCTGTTTTCCGCTGTCAACCGTATTTCTATGGGAAAGGCCCCCGGACCAGACTTGGTACCAAATGAAATTATTAAATTAGCCGTGCACAGATACCCCAGAATATTCCTGGCATCCTACAACAGCTGTATAGCAGAGGGCCACTACCCGGAAATCTGGAAGCGAGTTAAACTGGTGCTGCTCTACAAGGGTCAGGGAAAAGACCGTAACTTACCGTCTAGTTACAGGCCGATCAGCCTCCTGGACGGCGCTGGGAAGGTGTTTGAGAGGATGCTGCTAACGAGACTCGAGGTTCATGCTGAAAGAGCGCTAAGCGAAAACCAGTTCGGCTTCAGACGGGGCAGGTCCACTGATGACGCTATCTCACGAGTGCTAACGACAGCCAAGGCCGCTAACTCAGGAGCCGTCCGGAACAGGGACCTTTGCGTGATGGTCACCTTAGACGTTAAAAACGCTTTCAATTCGGCACCGTGGCACCTCATCGAACGAGCGTTATCCAGGACCAATGTTCCGCTGTACCTGGTCAAAATAATGAGGTCCTATATGCACAACCGCAGCTTGCAGACCACTCAGCAGGACGAACGAGAGGGACATAGACTAATGGTCACGTGCGGAGTCCCGCAAGGGTCGGTCCTCGGACCGACACTGTGGAACCTCTTCTACGACGGTGTCCTAAGGCTATCGCTTCCCAGCGGGATTAAGACCCTCGCATTCGCGGACGACCTAGCCGTATTGGTAACCGCGCACAACGCGGACCTGGCCGAGAGATTAATGAACGAGGCACTGGCGCGGGTCGACGACTGGATGACCGTCAACGGACTGGAGATCTCACCGGAGAAATCCGAATGCGTCGTCCTCACCGGTAAACACTCATTCGTACTACCACATCCAGTGTTCAAGGGGGTACGGATCCCGGTGCTGAGAGATATTCGTTACCTCGGGGTGCAACTCGACACCAGATTGTCGTTCGGAGCCCACGTCGTCAAAGTCGCTGCAAGCGCCAGGAAGGCAGCGGTCGCATTAGGCAGGCTGATGCCTAATGTCGGTGGACCATCTCAGAGCAAGCGGTCTCTGCTGATGAGCGTCGTCCACAGCCGGCTTTTATACGGTGCACCAACGTGGGCTGTGAGTGCGTCCGCGTCCGAGACCAACATCAGGAGGCTCAACCAAGCGCAGAGCAGTGCTGCCCGTAGGGTTGCCCGCTGCTATCGGACGGTGTCCGACCAGGCCTCGTTGGTTTTAGCTAAGATGGTACCCGCACATCTTTTGGCCCTGGAAAGAGAGGCCTTGTGGCAGAAAAAGAAGTCGGGCGACACCACGTCTAAATCCTCCCTGCGTAGGGAGACGATAGTTAGGTGGCAGACGATTTGGGATAGTACGACCAAGGCCTCGTGGACCCGTACACTCATCCCGGACATACACAGATGGTTGGATCGTGGCCCTGACAGTATCTCTTTTAACCTAGCGCAAGCGTTGACCGGCTCCTTTCAGGAATATCTGTTCAAGATGAAACGAGCTCGTTTACCAGATTGTATGCACTGCAACGCTAACAGTGATTCAGCCGAGCATACATTGTTTGTGTGCCCTTTCTGGGAAAATGATCGCGCTGAACTCAGGAGGAAACTGGGTAGAAGCTTTGGACCCAGGGATGTTCAGATGCTGCTGTGCGGTTCACCACCCGAAGAAATGCCAACGGGGACGCAACGGAGGCGAGACATCGAGGCAGCGGAAGAGGGACTCAGGACGGAATTCATGTCGATGGTGGATTCAATCATGGGAACGAAACAAGCGCTGGAAAGAACACGACAGAGGATCGAAAATCAAAATGAAATTAATTAAGTTTACTAAATTATGGGCCGAAAGCCAAAAGTAGGGGGTTAGAGTCCCCCTGTTTTGCTGTATTTTTTTATTGAATTAATCATAATTATTATTATTAAAATGTAATTGTTGATAATTATCAATAAACGATGTGACCAGGGAGGCAGCAATGGGATTCCATATTTCCCTCCCTGGCCACGATTCCAACCCGAAAAAAAAAAAAAAAAGGTTAGGTTAGGTTAGGTTTTAATTAGACAGTCGGATTCCCCTGGTCCGTGCCAGTTCTGAGTTGACCGTTACATGGCGGTCGATCCGGCTACGCCGGCCGGCGACGCGGCGGCCGGCCGGTGCGCGCGCGAGGCGCGCAACGGCCGGCCCGCCCGCGGCGCCGCCGACGACCGAAGCTCGGTGGTTCCACGGTCGGCGGACGGCGACGGGCCCGCGACCGCCTCGAGGCTCCCGGCGCGCGCCCCGCGAAGAGCGCGCGCCGGGGGCACGGGCGACGGCCGGGGTGTCGCCAGCACCGCCTACGCTTCTACGACGACCCGAACCCGATCCGCCACGCTCCTCAGAGCCAATCCTTATCCCGAAGTTACGGATCGGTTTTGCCGACTTCCCTTACCTACATTATTCTATGCGGCTAGAGGCTGCTCACCTCGGAGACCTGCTGCGGATATCGGTACGAACCGACGCGAAGACTCCGCGTGGCCCTCTCTCGAATTTTCAAGGTCCGCGTGGGGGTCACGGACACCGCCGCAACGAGCGGTGCTCTTCGCGCTCGCGTCCCTATACTAATAGTACACTCAATACTACTATATGGAGCTCCAGTGTGGAACAACACACTCCGATACATTAAGAAAAACAAACTGGCACTACACCAGGTGTAGAGAAGAATAGCTCTCAGAAGCATATGTGGTTACCGCACGATCAGTTATGTGGCCTCCAACATCTTAGCCGGAATACCTCCGATCGATCTACTAGCAGAAGAACGAGAGTTAACATTTAACCAGCGAAGAGTGAAAAAGCGAAAACTTACGGCGGAAGAAAAAGGAGAGAATCGGGATAACACCCTGAAGGTCTGGAATGGACAAATAAGACAGGCGGATAATGAACTGTGGACTAGGACAATAATACCTAATATCGAGCACTGGGTTAGGTTAGGTTAGGTTAGGTGATGAAGTCAAAGGAGGAAGACGAACGGGAGCGACAAAGCGTTGTAATTAATTAGTTAAGCTACCATAAAATGTAGGCCGAAGGCCAAAATTAACAGGGTGGTTAGAGGCCCCCATTTATTGTAGAAAAGTATTGTCTTTTTATTTCTTATTATGTATAATTATGTATCTGATTTCACAATAAAAGTAGGTGGTGCCCCAGAAGTAATACCTCGCAGTAATACCTGGGGCATCATCGATAAAAATAGAAAAAAAAAAAAAAAAGGTTAGGTTAGGTTAGGTTAGGTTCCCCCCGACGGGACACACCTTGTTGTGGTGGGGGGGCTAACCGACTCCGGTTGGTGCTAAGAGGTACCCACTTTTCCGCCCTGACTTTAATTAGTTGGGGCCGTCAAAAAGCCTCTGACCTTAATTGGTTGGGGGTGGCAGGTATGGTAACCACCTGCTACCAACAGCAAACGGACTCTGAAGGACACGAAAAGCTCATGAAGCTGCGGAAGACCTTGGGATTATTCAAGAAGTTTTGTGAAGAGACAAAGAACGTGCATGTCCCTATTAAGACATGGGCTGCAGAGTTATGGACGATAAATGAGGGTTTTGGACCCTCCCTCAGACGCCTTAGGGACTCCATCGCAGTGTGGGATGAAAACTTAACCGATTTCAGTCTAAAGGAAAAAGAACGTTCGTTTAGGGAGTCTATGACAGGGGGCACCAAACCTTCCTCTCCCCATCTGCCACCTCCAACCTCAACCGAGGACAAGTGCGTTGAGACGGAGATAAGATTGGGCTCCACGCCTGCCATCACTCTTGACGGAATGCGAGACGAACGGTCGAAGCAAGTTGCAGTTTTGCCGGAAGGAATAAACGCATGGAAGACAGTGTCAACAAACAAGAAGAAACTGAGGAAAAAGAAGTTTGACGAGACCCAAGCTGACGTTAATAGACCTCCGGCTCCCCCTCCTCCATTAGTGCCCAGCGATAAAAAGCGCAGGAAGTTGAGGCCAAAAAGAGATGCTGTTATCATCAAGCTGAAGGAAGAAGACAATACAGAAGAAGAGAAAGGTAGCACGTATGCGTCAATTGCTGCTGCCTTGAAAGAAAAAGTGGACCTAAGCAAGCTGGGTGTGGCGGTCGACAAGTTCAGGATAACGAAGAAGGGCCACCTCCTTATAGAAGTGGCAAATGGGCAAACTTCGACCTCAGACTTCTGCAGTGCCGTCTCGAACGCTGTTGGGGATCTGGGCGAAGTCTGCCACCTCCAGGACAGGGTAACCATTCAAGTCCTCGGAATAGATATAAATATAGATAATATAAATATGTTTATTTATTATTAATATTGGATTAAACCACTAGATTACAGTTAATTTAAATATTAAATTATTTATGAAATTTTAAGTTATAATATACATTCAGGAATGTTTTTTTATTTTAATACTTATTAGTCAATAAATAAATTAACATATTATAAATATGTTTATTCATTATTAATATTAGATTAAAACACGAGATTACAGTTAATTTAAATTTAAATTCATTTAAATATTAAATAAAATTTTTTATCTTAATCTATTAAAAGTTTTTTAGTCATCTTTGGGTAATAAGGTAAAAAATATGTCAACATTAAAAAATTTGAAGTTATAATATACATTCAAGAATATTTTTTTATTTTAATACTTATTATTCAATAAATATTTTCCATAATTAAATTAACATAATATAAATATGTTTATTCATTTTAATATTGGATTAAACCACTAGATTACA